ATATTACGCTCGAGCGATGTTTTCCTCGCTCGAGCGAACATGTCAAATTTTGAAATTTCCAGAATTGTGTTTGAAGTTCAAAACTTGATTCCAAAGCTCAAAACTCACATTTTTTGGTACAAAAACATGGAAAACATTATATGACATGGAAATACTTCAAATTTTAAAATCAATTATTCAAAATCATGAACGAATTTCTAAAATCAAGTTCAAATCATTCAATTCCATGTTCATAACTTTGAGACTCATGCATGTATGACCTCACATGAATTCATCATCTTCAAAACATGTAATTAAGCCTCATAATCTCATTATTCATGGATGCATGTCTCAAATGACTACTAATTCAACTTGTTTAACATGTCTTATGCACAAACATGGAGATTCATAGCAATTTGTTACATGCATGTACATATTAGTCTCAGTTTCATCATTCCCAACTCAAATCTTGTTCTTAACTTCATATTCTCTTTGAATTCACTTGGCTATGAATTTAAACTCATGAATGTGTTCAATTACTCACCTAAAGGCTTCAACCCTTCAAACTTTAGCTGGTTTTTTAGCTAATTCTTCCAATTCTTGAATATTCTAGCAAAATCTTCTAGGATGACTCCTTTCTCTCTCTAAATTCGCACACACACTCTCTCTCTAGAATGTAATCTCAGCCAAGTTGGAAGAAAAATGAGCTCAAAGGACATAACTTAAGTGTATAGAGGCCTATATATAGGCTTGCCTAATCAAGTTGATTAAGCCTAAGTAATTGTGCTAATTCAATCATATTGAATCTAATTATTTTGATCCGAATCAATTTTTAATTAAATCTCATTGTAGACTCTAAAAATCACACTAATCATAAAAACACAGTCAATTTCAGTTTATGTCGCCTCTATGGCCTTCAATTGAATTTTATAGCAGAAAATCAAACTGATTTTTCTACAGTGAACATATACAATTTGAGAAACACATATAATCATATAATTAGCACTCAAAATCATATCAAGCTCATAATCATAAGCATAATTAAGATTAATTAGCATAATATAGAGCAGGGTTATCACAATAATGATCATGTAATGAGTGATTGTTTTTAGGGTGAATTATACTAATAGTCCCTATAGTTTAAGGCTCGTGTCACTTTGGTCATTGATTTTTCAATTGTGACACATTTGATCCTGAATTTTGAATCTTGTTCCAAATAAGGACAATTAAAGATACCATTACTTAATTTCAAGGGCAAAATCACCAATTTGATAAAATATAAACTAATTTGACAAAAATAAATGTCAAAAAAATATTTTAAAAATTTTAAAAATTATTTCCACCTACCAATGATAAAATTATGTAAAATTGATAAATCTTTTAGACATTTTTTTTTACTAAATTAATTTTTATTATGTATTTGGATAATAATCATGTAATGGGTGGTTGTTAGGATTTTAATATGTAATCGATATATTTAATATAGGGAAAATTAGTCTAGGGTCCCTCTCCCACTTTTCGTACCTACCAATGATAAAATTATGTAAAATTGATAAATCTTTTAGACATTTTTTTTTTACTAAATTAATTTTTATTATGTATTTGGATAATAATCATGTAATGGGTGGTTGTTAGGATTTTAATATGTAATCGATATATTTAATATAAGAAAAATTAGTCTAGGGTCCCTCTCCCACTTTTCGTAATGGAAGAGATTCACAAAATTATTTTTTGATATCTAAGGTCCCTAAACATATATTAGAGAAATTTGACTTACTGCAAAGCAGCACTTCCTCTCTCTCTCTCTCTCTCTCTCTCTTTGCGTTCCAATTCCCTCATCATCTCCTCTTCTTCTTCGCTCAACACCTTCGCGTCTTGCGCTTTCCTTTACATTTCTCGCCGCTTAATCCAAACAAACACATCTCCATAAACATCAACAATACAACAAACACTTACACATATACATAGATATGTAGAGAGAGAGAGAGAAGTGAATTGGACCTTTCTTTACGATCCTGTAACCTTTGGAGGTAGTTCTTGTAGTGATTCTCGATGAACTGTTTAGTGGCGGCGGCGGCTTTCTGACGAGTGACAGGAGACAAAACAGAGACTTCGGGCGGGTCCAAATTGAAACGACAATCGGGTCTGGTGGTGAGAGTCCCCAACTTGATCATTCCATCACCAACGCCGTCCATGTTCCGACGATGCTGAACCTTGACAGAAAAAACAGATCTGGTGGTGCTACACTCTCAAAGCTTCTTTCAGGATTGTATTCTATGTTCTTCATTAATTGATTTCTCTTTGCACAAAAACACATTTTAATATATATATATATATATAGGTTGCTATTGTTGCTTATTCACTCAATGAAATGATCTTCTCTCTCTCCTTTGAACTGAAATTTCTCTGGATTGGTGAAGAGAAATTTTCTTGTTTGAATTGAAATTTCTTTGGGTTGGTCCAGAGAAACTCCCGGGTTTAAACTGAATTTTCTCTGGATTGGTCCAGAGAAATTCTATGGTTTGACCTGAAATTTCTCTAGGTTGATCCAGAGAAATTCTCTGATTTGGATTGAACTAGTCCTCAATGTTGTCCAGAGAAATTTGGCAACCTCTTCTTTTTTAACTTTCTCTGGATTTCCAACAAGAGCAAAGGTTGCTTGAAGAAAGTGTTGCTACGTTGTCTGGAGAAAAATTTCTCTGGACCAATTTTTTCTGTGACGTGAATTTTCTCTGGAGTAATTTTCTCTGGACTAATTTTCTCTGGACTAATTTTCTCTAGACCAATTTTCTCTGGATCAACTTGAGGGACCTTAGACATTATGAAAATATTTGATGTCCTTTATGTTATAAAATCTTAATACAGACCTTAAAAAAAACCCTTTAATATATGAAATATTTTTAATTTTGGATTTTTTGGTTTAATGGATTGGTTTAATAATGATATTAAAGTTATTGCCATATTTGACTTTTGAAAAAATAGAAACTAATTTAATGAAAATAAAAACTACCCATTACATGATAATCATCCAAACACATAATAAAATTAATTTGATAAAAATAAATAAATAAATAAATGTCTAAAAGATTTATTAATTTTTCATAATTTTATCTTTAGTGGGTAGAAATAATTTTTAAAAATTCAAAATATTTTTTGACATTTATTTTTATCAAATTGGTTTATTTTTATCAAATTGACGAATTTGCCTTTAAAATTAAATAATGGTATCTTTAATTATTCTTATTTGGGGCAAGATTGAGAAATTTTATTTTCACACACGAAATTAACTCGAGGCACACGCATAACGAAATTTTAATTTAATGACAATTATATTCTAAATTAAACTCAGGACAAACACTTAATGAAATTTTAATTTAATGACAATTATGTCCTAAATTAAAATGATCATAATAAACATCTACCAATACCCATAATATTATATAAAAAATTCTTTATATACATCTTTTAAGAACAAAAAAAAATTTCAATGTGTATCTTTTATGCGGAAGCTAAGTAATTTTTTTTTTTTTAACTAATTAGTAGATATAATCAATTTAAAATATTGGCTTCCGTGTCTGCTTTATACCAAATTGAGATGGAGAATTTTACGTAGCAATGTTATGAAAGGAGTTGGGTTTACGGTCCTTTTTGAGATACGACAATGCTACGTAGCTCAAATTTTATGGCTCAAAAGTGGTTCAAATGGCCAAAACGACGTCGTTTTGAGTACAAAACAACATAAAAATGGCCAAAACGACGTCGTTTTGGCCATTTGAGCCACTTTTGAGCCACAAAATTTGAGCTACGAGACATTTTCCTTTGAGATATCGGCTTTATGCATGAAAGGAGTTGGATTTATGATGCTTCGGAACTTGTCAAAGTCGAGCAGTCTTGTTAGTAATCAAGATGTAGGTATTTCAATGGCGGTGTTCCGTGGAGTTCATCAATGGAGAAAAAATATCTTTACTTGATTTCACTTTAGACTTTGGTCTTCAAAGATCTTCACGTGTAGCTTTGCCGACGTGGAAGTTGGGTAAATCAAAAAGTGTGTGGAAAGAAAAATTAAGTGGGGTATGTACCATAATTATGAGTTAAGAATATAATTGTAATTTTTAGTGTGTGGATTGAGAAATTAATTAATAAATTAATTAATAAGTGTGGATATTGAAAAAAAATATGCATTGAGATAATCAAGTCTGTGAAAATATAATTTTCCAACCAGATTCAAAATTCAGGGTCACAATTGAAAAATCAGGGACCAAAATGACACAAGTCCCAAACTATAGGAACCGTTAGTATAATTCAGAATTATTTTTATTTTCATTAAATTAGTTTCTATTTTTTCAAAAGTTAAATATGACGACAACTTTGATATCATTATTAAACTAATGTATTAAATCAACAGATCAAAAACTAAAAATATTTCATATATTAAATATATCGATTACACATTAAAAACCTAACAATCACCCATTACATGATTATCATCCAAACACATGATAAAAATTAATTTGATAAATATATAAATGCCTAAAAAATTTGTCAATTTTACATAATTTTATCTTTAGTATGTAAAAATTATTTTTAAAAATTAAAAAATATTTTTTTTTGGCATTTATTTTTTTTAAATTGGTTTGTATTTTATCAAATTGACGACTTTACTTTTGAAATTGAACAATAATATCTTCAATTGTCGTTATTTAAAATAAGATTTAAAATTTAAAATCAAATATATCACAATTAAAAAATTAAAAAATAAAATGACACAACCTGAAACTATAGACACGGTTAGTCTAATTCACCCTTCCAAACCTATATTAAGGCTTTGTTTGGCATGTCATATTTGAATTAAAATAGTCACAAAAAGATAAAATAAATTTTTTAATTTAATTAAACGAAATATCAAATTAAACCATAATTATTATTTTTTTTTCTCCTAAAAGTAAAAAAAAAAAACACCAATTAACTTATCCTAAACGAGACCTTTAACTCCAAATTAAAATAACAAAAAAACTAAAAACTAAAAAACCAAGAACAGTCAACCCACATCCAAACCAAGCTAATTCTATCAAAACCATGCCAAACGGAGAAAACAAGCAGCAGCAGTAGTGGAAACCATAACTCGAGAACCGAGAGTTCCGCAACCAAATCTGCTTTGGCCACCAAGCGGCGGCGCCACACCAACGCCACCGCCTCTGTCGTCGTTAAATACTCTCTCTCTCTGCGTACGCTTTTGGTTTTTGGTGGAAGTGAGCAACCTCCTTACGGTGTCTCTCAAACAACCCCTAAAGAACGAACCAACCAAAAAGTTCCTATCGAACTCGACAAAGCAAGGTTCTTTACTTCTCTCTCTCTCATCTCTTCTCCTTATCCTTTTTCGAATGCCTAAAACCCTTCAATTCTAGAATTGCATGTCCCTATTCGATTTAGACTTCTCTATCTCTCTCCACTCTTGCCGCAATTCAGGTTTCGCATGTATTACAGAGCATTTTCTACTGCAATACACATAGGCCATGTTTGATTCCATAAGACTAATAGTGAGGTATAAACAATCCTATTAAATTAGTGTGTTATTCACAATCCCACCCCTACCCCATTACTAATAATCCTACAAATTTGTTGGATTAATTATCCATTGGATTAATAATCCCAAAACAAAATATCAAAACAAACATGGGATAATTGGGCCCACGGATTAATAATCCCAATCCCATGTTCTAATCCTTCCAGTCAAACATGCCAATAGAGATTTCAATTTTGAATGTTGAAATTTAAAAAAATTGTATATATACCATATGCCTCAGTTACGATATTTGTGGTCTTTGGTTATCACCTATGATTTGGTCATGACTCTGGATTGTGATGTTTGTTATGATGCAAAATGTCTTTAGTTTTACTGAGGTGTTTGGTTATGACATTTTTTTTAGTTAGGACTGAATAAGATTTAGTTATGATATTTGTGGTAAGCAACACCAAATGTCATAACTTGCATATGGTACAACATTACCCATTATTTGAATCTTCATTGTATATGGAAAATGTTTGTTTGCCTTAGTTGTAAACTTTGATTCTGACATGTTCATCTTCAGGGACTTATCATTTGACTGCAAAGAAAATTAACACCAATTTGTAACCATGACGGTTGCGCAACTCGTTGGTGGTACTGTCTCTAATGGATTGACAAGTAGAAGTGGCGAATGGAACACTATAAATAGGATGATATCAGGGTCATTCTGTTCGGGACAGCCAAGGGTACCTCGAAATTTCGTTTCAGTAGTTGGTAGGAAGAGATTGAGCTATGGTGGTGTTTTTTGGCACTGCGGTCTATCCACAAACCATAAGACAATGTTGTTTCCCTCAAAAATGGCTTGTCAAAAAAAGCGCAATTTTCCTGTGGTCAGTAATCAATTGAGTTCCGATTGTGGTGTGCATTCTTCTTGTGTCGTGGATGAGAGTTGTACCATGGAAGAACGTTGTCTAACGAGTTCAATGGAGTAAGACCTTGTTCCATCATGTTATTTTTCATTTATGGGAGCTTACATTGTAATTTTTCCATCATTTAGTGTAAGTTTTGCTGCGGGTAGTGTGTGGATCTCTCAAATTTTGATTCTTAGAGACTAGTAATCCATTTTCTAACTTTGTTTACAGTGTATCCACGGAGAATCCTAGTTGTCAACCACATGTTCAAAATGTTAAACAAGAGCTTATAATGCTTTCTTTGCCTGCAATTGCTGGACAGGCTATTGAGCCATTGGCACAACTGATGGAGACAGCATATATTGGTAGATTGGGTAAGGAGTACATATGATGTGTAATTCTCTACTCTTGTTTTTGATGGTTGAGAGAGAATTTTAATTTTCCTGTTAGTTTTCTTTTTGTTATTTTTTATGAGGGATGTGAGTCTGGCCAGACCCCTACCATTACATTATATTAGGAGAATCAATGAGCTCAAGTGGAAGGAGGCAAAACCTCAAATAGAAGTATGGAATAGAACAAAACCAACAAGGCTGCACGATACCCATCGTCATCAAATTGCAAAGCATATTGTAAAAGTTGACCCTTATGATGTGGGTAAAGGTCACAGAACATTGAGAACCACTTGGGAGCCATTCAGCTGACTGCATGTTTTGCAAGTGTTTGTAACATCATTTTCTTTATTCTACTTGGTTCAAGTTATTCGTGTCAATTTTTAATCTAAGTTGTCCCTTCTTCGACTCAACCCTGCCCAGCCCTGCCCTGTCTATTTAGGATTGGCTACATGAATTCTAATGCATCATTAGCCACTTTTTACCATATAATTCTCAAAGCCTTTATTTTGGACATGCTCATTTTATGAGCATTTTTCTTGTTTGCCTAGTATCTGCATTGTGCAACATGGTCTTGTAGCCATGGTCCATTTAACACCACATAGTTGGTCTTACACTCTTACTGGATTTTTCTTACAACTTAATGGGCCAATCGAGTTGGTTTGTCCTTCAAGGGCACTTGCATGATTGCATCCTTAAATTGATGGTCATATAGACTTATAGAGTAATTATTTGTAAAGGTAGTAATTGATTCATGATTGCATCGTATTGTTGGGCAGACATGGGTATGATTCCACCTCAAGCTATTGTTTATCAGCTAGGAGGATTGATGTGGAAGCCATCAATTTAAGGTAGGGTTACTATGGTATGGATATAGGGCACTACCCTAGTTATTGCCATGGATTGTAGTTATTTTGGGGCCTAACTTTATGCCTGGATTTCGAATCAATGCATACAGCCTGTCAGGATACTGCATCAGTCGGTACATGCCAATACATGATGTTAATGCTCATGCTTTGTTCAGGTTAACATGATGGTAGATTGAATGTTTGATATATATAGAAGCTGATAGATGTACTACACCACTAAGTGATATATAATTCAAGCTGAAATTATGGCTATTTGATGATTCTGGCTCGTCAAAAAATCAGCTGGTTTTGTAGTTCGAGATTAGTCAATTCAAGTATATTAGTTTAGTTCTTTTGGCATTGACACTGCACTTAGGAATTTAAGTTCTCTTGGATGGTTCTTATATTGACTTTGTTATATGTTTCTCTAGATCTAGATTTTGAAACTTGATCCTGATTATGGCAGTTATGCTATATAGTAAGTGTGTTATATCTGGCTGCTAACTTCAATATGTGCAACCAAACATGAGTGTTAGCTGTGTGTATGTGTTTCCACGGCCATGCATGTGTGCATCTGCGTGTGTTTGTTGAGTGGTGATCACAATTTTCAGATCTGTAGACTTTGTGTTATATCTGTAGGACCTGTGGAGTTGGCATCAGCTGGTGTTTCCATGTCAATTTTTAACATTATATCGAAGTTATTTAATATTCCTCTCCTCAGTGTTGCTACTTCTTTTGTGGCTGAAGACATTTCAAATATTGCAAGCAGAACTTCCACTGCAGGTAAAGTGATGTTTGGAGTCTTTTTGCTCTTTTTAGTTCCACTCTATATTTCCTTTTCATTTCATGTCTAACTTGGGGACAGATTTCTTACAGAAGAGGGTTGTCAAGGGGAAAGTGGCAATGGTAAACCTTATGAAGTGATAAATACACGCCAGCAACTATCCTCCGTGTCTACGGCTTTAGTTTTAGCTGCTGCCATTGGCATCTTTGAGGCTTCAGCCTTGTCTTTGGGATCTGGACTATTTCTGACCTTGATGGGAATACCGCCGGTAAGCAATAGATAGGTCAAGTTTTATTTAAGATATCAGTATCAGTTGGCTGGCCTCTCTCACAGTTTGTGTGTGCATGTGTACCATGTGCTTCTCAACAAAGCCTTGATCTGTGCTACTTGGGTTGGTTTAATGAATAATTTTTCTCCATTCAACTCTATCTAGTGGAATGCTCTAGCTTGAGATTGAAATTTGAGTGGGTGTGCATGGCCAACAAAGCCTCAATTTCCTTCTTCTTGGGATTGGCCAACAGGAAGGGATCATTTTACCATTCAGCTTTTTCTTATACAATGTCTAGTTACTGCAACCCTCCTCCAATATTGGACTTGGCTGTGGGTTGTGTTAATCCACAGCATACGCTAAATAGTTTCAAAATACATTCTTTTCCTGTGCTTGGATCAAATCACTAATACTATCGAAGCAACAAAGGAATGTAAAGAGGAATAGGGGCCAGGCTGTAGTAGTACTGATTTAATCAATCTATGCAAAGGGTATCCAAATATTTGGGGATTCACACCAATCCCCAGAACTAAGACGAGATACAATGTACTTGTTGTTGGCTCTGTTGGTGTAGAAATTATGTTACATGGACTCAAGTACGGTTGTCGGGTGCGGGTGTGTATCTAGAGGTCGGACTCGATCAAACCTTAAATTTAAGGGTAAACTATCAATAGGTCCTAATAGTTTGACTTAATTCCCATCAAATCCTATTGAAAATAAATCTTAGTAAAATTGTCACTAAAAATAATTTTTTTGTGATAATTTTTTACATACGTCGCAAAAAATTGACAATTAGTAACTTTTTTTGTGATGATTTTTGTAAATTGTTGCTAAAACTTACAATTAGTGATTTTTTTTTATGACAAATTTTTCCCATAAGACCTATTAGACAATAAGTCCACTTATTAGGACCTACACATAAGTACCCCTAAATTTAAGGGCACATAGACTTTGCAAAAATATGTTATATTTTTATATTTGTAATCTATTATTTGAGATAAAATGGTGTTATATATAATAATATAACATATAGTGTCATAAAGACATTTATAGCATATAGTTATATACAATAATATGTACATATTATTGAATACAATAGTTATAGTGACATTTATATACAATAATATGTACATATAGTTATAGTGTTGAACACAAATATATAAGAAGTGTCCGATGAAAAATATCCGACACATATCCATACCCTTGTCTAAGTGGGTGTTTGATTTATTTTGAAGAATCCATGTAATATAGTGTAGAATTGTGGTTCGTTAGGACTATGCAGGGGTCAGTAGTGGTTTATATTTGGCATGTGTTCTTTTTTAAGAACATTGTTTTTTTCAGAATTCTTGTAGTTTTCTTTTTTAAGTGACAGGTCATGATTTCTCATATCTATTCTTTTCTCTCCCTGTGGTTTTCATGCACATTTTTATAGAAGTTTTTTTTTTTTGAAACAGGATTCCTCCATGCGTGTTCCAGCACAGCGATTTCTTTGTTTTAGAGCCCTTGGTGCTCCTGCAGTTGTAGTTTCCTTGGCTCTTCAAGGCATTTTCCGTGGTTTTAAGGATACAAAAACTCCTGTATTATGTCTAGGCAAGTGTTTGGTTTAACCTGTAAAGGTATAATTATGTAAATCCTCAAATTCATTTGTCATGCTTCCATGTGCGTGTCCGTGCTCGTGTCCGTGCTTCATAGGATTTATTACATGATTAAACACACAAAAACAATGAGGAAAATGTTTTGGAGGAAAAGGAAAATTTTACTGAAATGTCAGAGAAGTTGGAATTGTAAAATATCTTATGTCTATGTTCTTGTTATTTAGTTTAGTCATAAAGGGTAGTTTAGTCTAATTAGGCTTTTAGGGTTTCATTAACAGTAGTTTAGTCTTATTATCTGTAATTAGGCTTCTAGGGTTTTGGTTGTTTTCCCATTCATATTGTACTTCAGGTTTGGTTATTATTCAATTCAATACATATATTTTTCTGTCATCTTTGTATCAGGAATATGTTCCATACTTATTTAATTGTTAGAATTTACCATCACCTACCACCAATTTACCACCACCTACTCCTCACCTACTCCTCACCTACTACACTCACCCTCTCCTATATAATGAGCCACTCACCATTTGTAATAAACAC